AAAAAGCTTGAAATAAAATGTTGAGAATAAACATTAAATTACGAGAAAAAAGTCGTGTTTCAAGAAAAAAATTGTTACATTTCGAGGAAAAAGCTTGAAATAAAATGTTGAGAATAAACTCATTAAATTACGAGAAAAAAAGTCATGTTTAGAGAAAAAAACGCGTTACATTTCAAGAAGAAAACGTCGAAATTAAATGTTTAATAAACTCATTAAATTACGAGAAAAAAGTCGTGTTTAGAGAAAAAAACGCATTACATTTCAAGAAAAAATGTCTAAATAAACTGTTGAGAATAAACACACAGGTGTCATGTTCATCTGATCTCGTTGGAGAGTGTTAATCAGCGTCTGCAGTGGCGCAGGTCGTAGAGAGCGATGCTCGTGCATGAAGTAAATGATGCGGTCGACCAGAGTTCAAATCCGTCTTTCGCAGATCTCACTCTTCTTCCTTTTTTCATAACATAACACATCGGATGCTTTTTACACTAAGTGAAAATGGTGATATATTCTATTTACACTAAGTGACAGCAGCAGCATTTATAGCGATGTGCTATTTATAGATGATATTTACAGTAAGTGAAAATAGCGATTCTATTTACGCTATGTAAAAGCAGCAGAACTTTGCAATAAGTGTAAATAGTAATTAGATGCTATTTATACTTATAAATAGTGACAGATACTATTTGCACCTCAGTATTGTTGTACATTAACAGGATACAATAATAACATAGAGTGTAAATGATTTTATTAATTAACATTATTAAATACACGCTGCCTTATTGGTACAAAGCCTACCTACACCTAAACCTACCCAATTAATACATCATTATTAAACACTCGTTAGGCAATTGATTTCCATTTTTCCGATGTGATATGAGATGGAAATAGGAAAAAGAGCACGAGAAAATGAACATTACAGCATTTTATTTAGACTTTTTTTCCTCATAATTTAATGAGTTTATTCTCAACATTTTATTTAAACTTTTCTCAAAATTGAACCAATTTTTTTTTCTAGAAACACAACAACTTTTTTCTCGTAATATAATTAGTTTATTTCTCAACATTTTATTTCAACTTTTTTCTCAAAATTTAACCAATTTTTTTTTCTCAAAACACGACTTTTTTCTCGTAATATAATGAGTTTATTCTCAACATTTTATTTCAACTTTTTTCTCAAAATTTAACCAATTTTTTTTTCTAGAAACACAACTTTTTTCTCGTAATATAATTAGTTTATTTCTCAACATTTTATTTCAACTTTTTTCTCAAAATGTAACCAATTTTTTTTTCTCAAACCACAACGACTTTTTTCTCGTAATATAATGAGTTTATTCTCAACATTTTATTTCAACTTTTTTCTCAAAATGTAACCAATTTTTTTTTCTCAGACCACAACGACTTTTTTCTCGTAATATAATGAGTTTATTCTCAACATTTTATTTCAACTTTTTTCTCAAAATGTAACCAATTTTTTTTTCTCAGACCACAACGACTTTTTTCTCGTAATATAATGAGTTTATTCTCAACATTTTATTTAGACTTTTTTTCTCGAAATTTAACGAGTTTTTTCTCGAAACACGACTTTATTCTCGAAATTTTATTATTTAATTCTCAACATTTTATTTCAAGATTTTTCTTGAAATTTGTTGAAATTAAATTTCTTGAAACGAGTTTAATCTCGCATAATAATTACTCTAATCTCGAGAAGGTTTCATTTTTTTTATTATTGCTTGGCCCTAATCCTCTTCCGTATGAAACACTGACATCCCAAATTAATAAAATAAATAAAATAAAAAATAAGAACATGCTAACTGGCTTTTATTTTGTCTAAAGCGGAAAATAGAGCAGCTATCTTAGTTTTTTTGAGTCCTGATTATCACAATTAATTGATTAATTAATGATTAATCACAGAAAACTGTGCCATTAGTATTATTATTAGATTATATTCACAGCCCTAGTCTTACCTCGAATCAGAGGTTCCCGCTCCATCACTAAAGCCAGGAGGTTTGGCCATGGAGCCGTCACTCTTCATAGACACACAGCTAGAGTCTGGAGATGCTGCTGTCTGGGTCTGAACAGCCTCTTCCTCCTCTCTCTCCTCACAGCGGCTCATTTTAGAGGCAGTGCACTCCTCTTCTCTCTCCTTGGTATGTCAGTGCATCTAAAATGGAGCTCAAAATAAGGCTCAGGCACTACATGTAAAGCACAGCTCACTTCCAGAACTACAGTCACTTTCTGCTGGTCACAGGTAGTGAATAATAAAAATGGACCTGTTGAAAACTCTAAATAAGCTCATTTGAGAATTAAAAAAAAAAAAAAACACAAATTATTTAGTCTATTAAATTGCGTTTCAAGTTCAAATATACATGCAATTATCTTTACACTTAAAGGGATAGTTCACCCAAAAATGAAAATTCTTTCATTAATTACTCACCCTCATGTCGTTTCAAACCTGTAAGACCTCCGTTCATCTTCGGAACACAAATTAAGATATTTTTGATTGAATCCGAGATCTGACCCTCCCATAGACAGCAAGGGTCCTTACACGATCAACGTCCAGGAACATAGCAAGGAGATCAGTAAAATAATCCATGTGACATCAGGGGTTCAACCGTAATTGTACGAAGCTACGAGAAAACTTTTTGTGCGAAAAAACAAAACAAAAACGACTTTATTCAACAATTTGTCTCCTCCACGTCACCCTAGCGCCATTTTGGAGAGTATCCGCTGGACGCAAACAAAGCACAAACAACGTAGAAAACGTATCCGTGTGGCGCGCCGTTTGCGTCCAGCGGATACTCTCCAAAATGGCAATTTTGCAAATTTACAATATATAAATATATACTCATATAAATATACTACTTATACTACTATTCTTCTTTATCTATTTATCTTTTTTTATTTAAAAAAAAACTAACACTAGCTTTCTATTTTTTCTATTCTATCTACTTGTTTTTCTTTGTGTGTGTAT